CCCCAAAACCCCAAAACCCCGATAGATTGATAATTTCAATAATTAGACACAAGTATGATTAAATAATATAAATTTAATTGTGATATGACTTTGTCTTTTATCATATTATAAAAAAAATTTTATTAAATGTTCAAACATATAAAGCATAATTGGAGAATTCTTTCTCTCATGCTAATATTTATCTCTCTACTTCTATTTACTTGAGTAGAATGCTCACTTGAATTTCCGAAGATATTTGCAGACCCATTATACGATGTTTCATTAACTGATGTTTAATTTGATGATAACTAGAACACTATACTACTTGGATCACTAAAAGCTTCAAAAGCCTTAGAATATATTTATATGGCTATGATAGGGCCATAAGGTAACTATACTTTACAACAAAGGTATCGATTTATAGACAATTCTCAAGGTACATTTATGGGAGGGAGATTTAATAAATTTTAAGTGGCTTCATCTAATCAATAATATATTCTATACGTTAGTTAATATGTCAAGAATTATGCTAATTTATCCATAATGTATGTGAGTTAAGGTAAAACAACACAATATTTGACTTTAGATTCAAATCTTGGTTATCTAAACTTAGCACTTATAAAATTGAATTAAACTGTAGTTTTAGTTTAGATTCAACATAGCGATTTTAACTCTTTTTTATTGATGAAATACTAACTAAATTCAACTTACAATAAACTTGATAAATTATGGATTAGAACTTTTAATGCGGCTTAAGGTTAAAAATTTTACTCAACTTTTGATTTATATATAACACCAGATCTATCTAATTGAATTTATTCTTTTGGACATGTAAACAAAAAGTTTGCTGCTTTAAGAGTACGAAATGATGAAAATTTTGAGCCTGGATAGAGTATGGGTGGATTCTTTCAAGCAATTAATTCCACCTTCTATGCAAATGAAATGTCAATAGGTACTAAAAGTGGTACTTAATTTTTTATCTTGATGGTAAACAATGAAAATATCGAAAACGGTAGTGTGATGGCTAAATTTGCTATAGCTACTAGCGCTTTTAGTTTAGCATAAATATTTGCTCTTGATACCTCAGCTTCATATTATTCTTGCTTGGATATCGTTGTAAGCGAGGAAAACTAATAAAATAATACAATTTCCATTCTCTATTCAAAATCAAGTGAAGTTATCTTAAGTAAAATATCTGTGTTTGGCTATAAAGTATTCAGCAATTAAAGTATTGGATATGTGCTTACCGCAAGTTTTACTAGTATGTCTAACAAAATTCATAATAGCTATGAACAAATTTCCTATTTGAAAGGAAGATTTAACAGACTATACCCTAACCAATATAAATTATATGGAACAACTAAAAATAATTGGAACTGCCTCTATGCTTCATAATTTACAAACAGACTTTACTCATTAGTAATTAATGAACATTTTGGATAAAAATGTATCTCTGCTACTGAAAGCTTTGAAGAAAGAAATTTAACATTCATATTGAACTTTAATCTTTCATAACAAACATTAGAATAATTTTATGAAGCTGGTGAATATTTTTAATTACAGCAAGTTTCTTCTGAATTTTAGAATATTTCAGATGTCATTGTAGATCAAAACAAAACATGCATAGATTTAAATTCAGTTAATTACTAAATAGACGATTTACATTTTGACATAAGCACAACTTATCCTACCTTTTAATTTAGTAAGTCCACTTTGGAAACATTTATAAATGAGAACTGTTCCTTTGCACTTTCCTACAACTTTACTATACCAGATTTTTAATTCTAATCTATTTCGCAAAACGATAATATTTCTTTGAAAATTATAAATCAAGTTCCTTTAAAGTTGGTTAAGAATCTATACCCCATTTAATTAATGATATCAACAGAAAATAAATCATAATTCAGATATTTTAATTTTAGACTAGTTATTGAACATTGTGAAAAATACTAATTGGAATCAAGGTCATCAGAAGAAAAAGTTTATTACAAAATAGGCAAGTCAATCGTACAAAATCTAAATGATTATTTTAGATTAGATACATTGAATTACTCTTGCTAAAAACTATTAAATTATAAACTTCTAAATACTGAAAATGTTGAGCAAGAAAATAATCCTATTATAAATCTAGTAGGAAACATAATGAATATATAAACAGAAGTAAGCTCTATATCAAAATAATATAAATACTAACTAAATGCGGTGATAAAAAATACCACAGTGGGAGGAGTACCAATTTTATTAAAAAGATAAGTTTAATAAGTTTAATAATAGTAAGATGCCTTTTAGAAAATATTTGAAAATGCTCTTAATACAACAGAATGCTATTAATAAGATGTTGGAGTTTATGTTGATGAAAAATCAATAATAGAATTTCCTTAATGCTTTCAAATAATAAAAATGAAAGGATTTGATATTGAAATTAATTATTAAGCAATTAAATCATTTGGATTTAAAACAGACAATGGACTAAATTTAAATCCAAAATTTGCAAATATTGGAATCTACGATATAGAGGTAAAAGTAAGAGTGGGATAGATCAAGTTATAGAAATTAGATTATATTTTCAAAATTTTAGTGTATTCAAACACCAATAACAGGTTTAAATGTTCTCAATAAAATAAATAATTTTGCAATCCAAAAATTTTTAGCATAAGTGTAGATGGGATATTGATAATTAAGTTTCCTTATGATATGTAAGTTATAGATAAAAATTAATATACCAATGCTACTAAAACTATTTAGATTACTCTTCTCTAATAAGATATAGTAAATTCATTAATACAAAGTTACATGATATTTGAAATTACTAAAACTCAAGTTATGATATAATTGGTGTTCACAAATCCTTAGTTTATATCTCAATCTATTTTGGTAATATATTTTAGTTTTTATATTTAATCTAGGGTAGAGATGTGCTGCAGTTAAAATTTACAAACAGTAGTTACTTTAGAAGTAAAAACTAAGATTATGAAGTACCTCAAAATATTTACATTTCATCTGAAATTCCCCCTTAAATTGGCAATCACAGTAAATTTGTAAAGTATAACTTATTTATGTAGCACTTATGAAAACTATATAAAAGATATTTAGCTTTCTAGAAATATCTATGATGTGTGGAATTGTACCAAATATGATCCTATCTTTTTTCCTAAAAGTATCGATAAAATAAATTTGGAGCCTTATTGACACTCTCTAAATATTAACACACATTCCATTGCTTGGCATCACTATTCCTTCGAATCTATTGATATGCTTATAGTCTATAATAGATATTTCAAATATGAGTATCATTCCATAGTTTTTGATTGATTTAATTTTCTCTGAGATTAACGAGGGATCTATAAACATAAATATGAACTTATAATTGATGGATATCTTTTGAAATTTAAACTTTTGCTATTGTTTTTAACTATTTAAGCTATGATTAGAGTAAAATAATAAAAAACGCAGGATAAATTTTACTAATGATATTAGGTGTCGTACTAATAATTGGATTTTTATTACTTTTGAAAGTTATATCTAAAAGGTCTAAAAAGTAATATTACAAATATTTAAACATTAAAGAATAGAAAACCTGCTTATATTCATTAGAAATAAAATATTCTTCAATTCATTGATTCTATATTTTATTAGAAGTTATCTAAAAAATTACATTAACTGCATGATTGCTATAAAAAGTGTAAGTAGTAGTATATATTTTTGACTATACATAGTATGCTGATGGAGGACTTACCGATATATATTAGTTTATACCATTTTGCCTATGTTTTATATTATACACAACATCTCCTGCTATTATTGGATACTTTTTATTTACGAATAGAATACATTTATCAGCATAATAGTTCAAGATTAGATTTGGATCTTTGTACTCTAATTTAAAATTCTATCATGCTTAGACTTATTTCTATTATGTGATATTCATAGCTAGAAGGCTATAGTATGGGATCGTAATAGTATTTCTTGGAAACTACTCCTTCCTACAACTAATTCTTCAAATTTTGATCAGCTAATGTTCTTTATTTTATGTTGTGCATTACAAACCGTTTCTTCAGAAATCTGATAATTTAACTGCATTCTTGAATGAACTTACAATTTTGATCGTATTTATTTGCTTAACTACCAATACTAATGCCTCATCTAATATTTAAACTCAACATGATTTAGGATACTTCTTGGTAGTTTTAATCCTAATTAATGTTTTGATAAATTTTGGATTTTTTGTTCGGGCCAATTTACTCAACCTAATTACATATTTAAAAAATCGTAGATAGAAAGTAATACTAGCTTCATCATAAAATATAGATAGCAAACAAGAATAAATTTATTCAAACATCAAGACTACTGATTCTTAATTGACAAAATCGAATACTAGCATTCTAAATGAGATAAATGAAATTAAAGCCAAGAGAAATAGAAAAAGATCTAGTTTTTATTAATTTAGCAATGCCAGATCTTCAAAGATTTAGAGAAAACCAGAGAAATAAATTTAATCAGAATAATTTTATTAGCAAAGAATAGTAACATATCAAGAAAGCTCAAAGAAAGATCATAAGATCTAAAATATAGCAATAAATGATATTTCAAAAGATTAGAAAGCATTATAGAATAATAGAGATATTGATCTTACTTCTTAAATATATAATAATAGTTAAGATAACTAAAAATTATAAAAGGATAATGAGAAATAAACTAATATTAGCAATAAAATAGCAAATACAAATATAATTAACAGTAATTAAAGTATTTTATAGAAATCAAGAAGAAAAATAAATAAAATGTAAAATAGGAATTCTACCAGTAATATGGAAAATATTTTAGACAAATATAATTGATTTATATTATTTTTTAATTTCAATTTTACTCTAAATTTACCTCATGGGGTTTTGGGGTTTTGGGG